CTCGTCTTTGCTACTTTACAACAAACAGTTTCTTATTCATGGAGACTTGGGCTCAACAGCCAAATTGGAGAGATTTGTTAAACAATAAATGACTTTATAAAGTCACTTTTTTTGTTCTATATCAGTCTTTTGATCTGCCACAATAATGTAATAATGAATTTAAATGAAAATACCTCAAATTGAAGGCTTTTCTCAGCAATTTTTAGGTGAGATTAAAAAGAGATTCATTAGATTAATTAATTACAGATCATAATTAATTAATCTCTCGATTTTTTTAATCGCATGACAGCACTAGTAATAATAGTGAAGAATATGAACCCCTCTGACCTGAGCTGTTTCAGTTTACAGTGAGGACTCTTCAGTCCAACACACAACATCTTCAACCCTGAGTCCTTCAAGTCGTTGAGACTGAGGTCCAGGACTGTCAGACTAGAGGACTGGGAGCTGAGGACTGAGGACAGAGCTTCACAGCTTCTCTCTGACAGGTTACAGCCGCTCAGTCTGGATGAGGAGACAGGAGCTCATTAGAGAAGAACTCAGAACAGAAGTGACAAGTTCAGACACATCCTTTCACTCCCAATCTCAACAATCAATCTGTAAAGAAAAAAAAATGTATTAATGAAAACAAAAAACAGTTACTGTATTTCTCCTGTCCATCTGCCTCACGTCAGCACGCCGCCCCTCGCCTTTTCACGCTCTCGATCCTTCCTGCGTACAGTGAACATAAGCCCCTCCCACAGTGCGGCTGATTAGAAGAGCAAGACCAAACGTGAAGCAAAAACCAGTCTAAATTTGTGTTCCAGGGTTGGCACAAAGCAGGTCTACAGCATAGAGCGGATCTACAGAACAGACCTACTGCCACATTTGGCTGAAGTTTGTCTAACAAAAGTGCACAAATGCATCTGTGTTTGTCACGATGTGCGTTTGGTTTGGTAAATGTGCAGAGGCTGGTAAATATCACTGCAAAAACAGAAAAGAATGTAACTCCAGTTTGGAACTTTAAAAAACAGGTTTAAAAATCTTACCTACTTCCTTCACTTTTTTCACAGTTTTGTGTAAAGTGCCAGAGGAAGTTCTCTTAAAGAAGGGCTTCTCAAACTGTGGGTGAGGGTACAAAAAAGGGACACAGAGTGTTTCAGTGCAGTTTGCTTGGCTTTGTATTAGGTAGATCATTTTGACTTGGTCATTTTGTAAGTAGCTCACATGCTGAAAAAGTGTGAGCACCTCTGATCTAGAGAGTAACTCTTCAGTGATTCAAGACACTGATGGTTCATGTGTCACTGCTCAGGCTAAAATAAACTCACATTTCCACACATTTATATTCTATTGTGAGGATGATTTCAGATATTATTCCTGCTCCCAAACCAGGAGAACCCCTGTCATGTTCTATTGTTGTGTTCCTCATCATGTTGGATTCTTTGTTCCAAATGTCACGACTCTGTGACACTGTATGTGACGAGAGCAGCACTTTACACACACACTCACATCATTTCACACAAGGAGGGGCCCACAAAAGGGGTTTGGGTCCTGAGACTGAACGGAACTGAAACAAAAGACCCTGAAGTGGTAAAGTCCCGAGGTGTGACTCATGAAACATCAGAGCAAGAAAAAGGAGCAGAAGAATCGCGCTGGAGGCTCTGACTCCTGGACCCAAAATACAGACGATTTCTACATTTGGAACACATGGATCTGTTTATGGACAAAAGAGGAGCAGAAATTAGCTTTACTCTGTATCTCCAAATCTTAACATGCTCTGTTCCACCTTGTGATGTCATGAAGTGGTACTTTTCAAATTAAAAGCTCCTTTTACCTTTTATTTAGTAGAAAATGTAAATTCTAGAACTGAAATGATCCAAATGATTCTAGTGAAGGTGTGTGGAGTTTAAAAACACAGTGGAGCACTTCCTGTACCACCACATGATGACATCAGAGTGTTGTGTGAAGAATCCCTCAGTCGTCCAGGTAGAATCCATGAGAAGAAAATCCTGTTTGTCGACTGGACAAAAGTTAGTTTGGTTGAAGACGTTTCGCAGCTCATCCAAGCTGCTTCTTCAGTTCAGGACCTGACTACACCTGTTGTTCTCTTGTTTGTTTTGATTTAGGTTTGAGGATAGAGTTGTGAATAGGAGACAGATGGTGTCTGAGTCCATTTCTGTTTAGAGAAGGATTCTCTTTCTTAACAAAAATGGCTTCTTTCACTCTCCTCTCAAACCAATGTTTCTCTCTGGCTAAAATCTGTACTTCACTGTCCTCAAATGAGTGACCCGTGGCTTTTAAGTGGAGATGTACTGAGGTCCACTGTTGCTCTCTCGTCTGTGTTGGTACATCCTCTTGTGAAGTAGTTGTTTAGTTTCTCCAATGTAGCGTTCACTGCAGTCTTCACTGCACTGAATGGAGTAGACCACATTGCTTTGTTTGTGGCTTGGTGTTTTGTCCTTTGGGTTGGACCAGTTTCTGTCTTAAAGTGTTCATAGGTTTGAAATAGACCGGGATCTCATGTTGTCTGAAAATCCTTTGTAGTTTTTCAGCAACACCAGCCATGTAGGGAATAGTTACCCCCTTTCTTCTGGGTTCTCATTCTCTGTTGTCTTGATTTTGTTGAAGGTCCATTTTGGATATCTGCAAACAGAGAGGGCTTTCTGCACATGTTGTTCATCTTTCTCCTTTCCCTCTGTGCTTGTAGGCACCACTTGAGCCCTGTGTTGTAGTGTCAGAATAACTCCAAGTTTGTGTTGCAGTGGGTGGTGAGAATCAAAAAGCAGGTACTGGTCCGCGGGTGTGGGCTTCCTGAAGACCTCAACCTGGAGTCGTCGGTCTTCTCCTATCGTTACTGTACAATTTAAGAGAGCCAATGTGTTGTTCTGTACAGGTCAATAGGCCAAACTAACAAACAGAAACTGTAAACAAGTGTGTGTGTTAGTTTCAGTGTAGTTTGCTCCTCCCTGCAGATATAAGGAACTGTCCACCAGCGTCTGACCAGAACTGAAGAAGCAGCTTGGACGAGCTGCGAAACGTCTTCAACCAAACTAACTTTTGTCCAGTCGACAAACTGAATTTTCTTCTGAATCACAGAGTGTTTTCTGTTTGGGAGAAGAGCTCCGCCTAAATGTGCAAGTTTGTGTGTTAAACATGTGAATGAAACACAAGTCCAGGTGTGTTTGTGATGAGGAAACAACATTAGAACAGAGATCATAAAATAGTGTCATATGGAGCTTTAATGCAGGTAACAGCTCTAAGGTTTTATACTGATCTGTGTGATGATGTTGAGCTGAGGCCTGAGGATGATGAATACACCACATTCACACTCAGCATCAGTAACTGGCTCATACAGCACATGGGGCATGAAGGACTGCAGCTCAACTAGTTTTTGTGCTGAATGGACACTTCTAATGTTTGATTCTTAGTCAAATGATGTCCACATGTTTAGTCAAAGTGTCTTTGTGTCCACAGTAAAGTGGGCCATACCTGAGAGTGTCCAGTGTGCAGTGGGGGTCCTCCTGTAGAGCACACAGGAGCTTTACTCCTTTGTCTCCTGGATGGTTGTAGCTGAGGTCCAGTTCTATCAGATGGGAGGGGTTGGACCTCAGAGCTGAAGCCAGAGAAGCACAGCCTTCCTCTGAGAGCAGACAACCTGACAATCTGGGGACACAGATTATGGGAATCAGTCCAATCATTAGAAACATTCAACCCGAATGAGACAAAGAACAAGTCCCATATCTTTATGTGACTTTATCAAATGGGATTTTCCAATGCAAATACCAACAGATTATGTAATTATAGTGAAGAATATGAACCCCTCTCACCTGAGCTGTTCCAGTTTACAGTGAGGACTCTTCAGTCCAACACACAACATCTTCAGCCCCGAGTCATTCAAGTTGTTGAGACTGAGGTCCAGGACTGTCAGACTAGAGGACTGGGAGCTGAGGACTGAGGACAGAGCTTCACAGCTTCTCTCTGACAGGTTACAGCTGCTCAGTCTGGAGAGAGAAAACATTGTTCATGTAGAAGTTGAACCAAATCATCCTGTTAAACAAAGGAGACTCACAGAGCTTTGTTGGAGGCCTTGACCACTGGCAGCAGCCTCAGGAGAACCTCCTCTGAAGCAGAGTATTTCTTCAGCTCAAACTGGTCCAGATCTTCTTCTGATGACAGTAAGATGAAGGCCAGAGCTGAACACTGAGCAGAAGACAGTCCACCTTCAGACAGACATCCTGATGTCAGGTACTGTTGGATCTGCTCCACCAGAGAACGATCATTCAGTTCATTCAGACAGTGGAGCAGGTTGATGCTCCTCTCTGCAGACACATCCTCACTCAGCTTCTTCTTGATGTACTTAGCTGTTTTCTGATCGGTCTGGGAGTTACTTCCTGTCTGTGTCAGCAGACCTTGTAGAAGGCTCTGATTGGTCGACAGTGAAAGACCCAGGAGGAAGCGGAGGAGCAGGTCCAGGTGTCCGTTTGGACTTTGTAAGGCCTGGTCCACAGCTGTCTGATGAAGATGCTTTAGTTTTTTTTTCACACTCAACATTGTACACTTCTGTGTTTTCTCTGAGAGCAGGTTGATCCCAGTGTTGATGAAGGTCTGATAGACGTGAAGAGCAGCCAGAAACTCCTGCACACTCAGATGGATGAAGCAGTAGACCTTGTCCTGGTACAGGCCTGGCTCCTTCTCTAAAGACCTGTGTGAACACTCCGGAGTACACTGAGGCCGCTGCAGCGTCCAGCCCACACTCGCTCAGGTCACTCTCGTAGAAGATCAGGTTTCCTTTCTGCAGCTGCTCAAAGGCCAGTTTTCCCAGAGACTCCACCATCTTTCTGGTCTCTGGACTCCAGTGTGGGTCTGTCTCAGATCCTTCTTCATACTTGATGTTCTTGACTTTGGCCTGAACCACCAGGAAGTGGATGTACATCTGAGTCAGGGTCTTGGGCAGCTCTCCTCTCTCTCTACTTTTCAACAGATGCTCCAGGACTGCGGCAGCGATCCAGCAGAAGATCGGCATGTAGCACATGATGTGGAGGATTCTGGACGTCTTGATGTGGGAGATGATTGTGTCGGCCTCGTCTCTGAACCTCTTTCTGAAGTACTGCTCCTTCTGCGGGTCGGTGAACCCTCTGACCTCTGTCACCATGCAGACGCACTCAGCAGGGATCTGATTGGCCGCCGCGGGTCGTGTGGTTATCCAGAGGCGAGCGGAGGGAAGCAGGCTCCCCCTGATGAGGTTCACCAGCAGCACGTGCACTGAGGCGGACTCTGTGGGGTCGGTCAGGGCCTCGGTTTTGGTGAAGTCCAGAGGAGGTCTGCACTCGTCCAGACCGTCAAAGATGAAGAGCACCTGGAGGTCTTCAAAGCTGCAGAGTTCTGCTTGTGTTTGACTAAAGAAGTGACCAACAAGTGTCACCAAGCTGAAGCTTCTCTCCTTCAGCACATTGAGTGCTCTGAAAGTGAACGGGAACAGCAGCTGTATGTCCTGATTGGCTTCACCTTTAGCCCAGTCCAGACTGAACTTCTGAGTGAGCACTGTTTTCCCGATGCCAGCCACTCCCTTTGTCAGCACTGTTCTGATGGCTCCATGTGTGTGAGCTGGGCCTTTAAACATGTCTTCACATGTGATGGCTGTCTCTGCTGGGCCTGGTGTCCTGGAGGCTGTTTCCATGTGTCTGACCTCATGTTCCTGGTTGACCTCTGAAGACCCTCCCTCTGTGATGTAGAGCTCTGTGTAGATCTCATTCAGAAGGCTGGGGTTTCCTGCTTTAGCGATGCCCTCAAACACACACTCAAACTTCTGCTGCAGGTCAGACTTCAGTTTACGTCGATAAACTCCAGAATAACTCCCTGAATGAAGACAACAGATACAGGCCTGAGTCTCAGAGAAGATAAAATGACTGTGAGCACCTTGTTAAATGTATTAAATGGTCCTACTGCTCCAAAGATGCTCAGCCAGCTCCTTCTGCTTCATCCTCCTTAGGAAGTTCAGTGTGATCTTCAGAACAGCCTCACTGCAGCTCCTCTGCTCTTCATCCTCATCCTCCACAGGATCTAAACCTTCTGGATCATCTGTACTCAGAACCTTGTGGAGCTTCTTCAGCTCCTTCTGGACAAAAGTGAAGATGTCCTCCTCCAGAAGCTGAACAGACACATTATAAACAACACAAATGCAGTCAGTGTCAGATCTGTGTGAAACAAGCTTCATTCATCTGAACATTTCCAAACTTAAGTGAATGACAGACCTTAAATATGGAGTCCAGCTGTGTGTGATGGTGCTGACCACTGGAGACCTCTGGATCCGGCTGCTCCCCTCTGTCACAGACACACATGAAACATGCATCATTATTATTTATTATTTATATATTCTTCTTATGATCAATGCTTTTGAAAACTCACGGCTCCGTGGCAAAATGATGTGGAAGTCTCATAGACCTGTCACTCCTGAGGGACTCACAGCTGGGACCAGGTTCAGACGGAGAATGTTTCTGGTGGATCCTGAGACACAGAAGAAAACACACTTCAGTCACAGTAAACACATGGGACTGTTCTGACTCAGATACAAAGTGTTCAGGAGGCTTTCACAGCAGACACTGATTGTGGACAGTAAATGGTCCACTGGCACGAAACAGTGTGGAGGCTGGAAAACCAGTAAGCTGTACAAGTTGTGCCCAAGGCTGGAAAATGGTGTCTTATGTGTGTGCGTGCGTCTAAGCAAATCTTCAATGCCCCTAAAGTCCAGTCATCCTGTCAAACAGGCCAAAGATCTTCATATTTCTACTCTGCTGCTGAGAAAAGTACATCAGGGCGTGGGACACGGAGGTCACACCCACATGTTTTCCAAGGTTAGGGAGAAACACTGGATCACTGGAGTCAGCAATGCTATAAGGAATGTCCTGTCCAAATGCATCATTTGCAGGAGACTCAGTGCTATCCCAGTGTACCAGCAGGTGGCAGACTTGTCCGCAGAACGACTCATGCCAGATAAGCCTCCATCTACCAGAGTTGGAGTTATTTTGGGCTTTTTAAAGTGAGGAGCAGGAGGAGTACAGTGAAGCGGTACAGTGTCATATTTACAGTACCTGTCTTTTCACATCGAGGTGGCACCTTCTTTGGATACTGACTCTTTCATGAATGCTCTGAGGCCCTTCATAGCGAGAAGAGGACAGGTCCGTGAGCTGCGCTCTGACAATGAGACAAATTTTGTGGGAGCAGAACGTGTGCTAAAAACAGCCATAGAGCAGTGGAACCAGGCACAGGTGCACAGTGTGTTACTCCAAAAGGGCATCAAGTGGTTGTTCAACCCTCCTGCTGAATCCCACCATGGAGGAGAGTGGGAGAGGCTGATCAGTCGTACTTCAGGTGAGAGACACAGGAGCAGGACCAGGACAGACAGGAGCGAGTGGGACCAGGGGGAGAGCAGTGGTCAGCTGCTGTGGGATGTGGAGCATGAGACAGACTCTGGTCTGCTGTGTAATGAACAGAAGAACACAAAGAAAACTAAAAAGGTTGACGTGTGTGTGTGTGAGAGGGGCACGTGCACGTGAAGTGTTCCAAACACAAACTCAGACAGTTCTGTCACGGCACATCCACAATTCTCTCTTGGTGGTGCCTCTGCTGGTGTGGACTTGCATCATGAGGCTCCGGAGCTGTTTTATTGTCACATATATAAGTTTTCCCCACAGCCTCTGTGCTGCCTGTGATGAGGCAAAGACTGCACACTTTACCCACTCTGGCAGTGATTTTAAATGCCACAGCGCTCACAGATTGGTTCAGATGTCATCACCATATATGGACTTGTACCGTCCCACTCCAGCCTCCAGCAGCCAAGTACAGCCCCACCTGGACACACCCCCTCTTTAATGCTAGTGCTAGTGCTAGTGCTAGTGCTAAGATCGGTCCATGGTTTTGTTGGATTCAGGTGATTTTTTGCTCCTCACTGATATATAACATTCATATGTACAGATGAATTAGTTTGTTTTGTAAATGTTTCTCTAAAAAGCATTTGACCCTGAGGCCAGGTTTGGACATTTGGACCAGATCTAACTCCACATATACTTCTAATATCATGCACCATAATAACACAGCGCTCACTCACAGCTCTCTCCTGAAGGATATTGGCGGTATCATAGACCTGTCACTCCTGAGGGACTCACAGCTGGGACCAGGTTCAGACGGAGGATGTTTCTGGTGGATCCTGAGACACAGAAGAAAACACACTTCAGTCACAGTAAAACACATGGGACTGTTCTGACTCAGGTCAGATACTTCAGGAGGTTCTACAAAGTGTTCATGAGGCCTTCACCACAGACGCTTCAGTACAGCTCATTCAACAACAAACACATCCAGTTTAGATATTTTTAAAGTTTGAATTATGGAACAAAGGACAGACTTGTGTGTATCATTCTGATTTGAATGTGATTCTGTGTGAACTGTGGACCACTCCTGGACATGTTTTTATTTCATTAAAACCACGTCACCCACATTATATCCAAATGTTTGTTGACATAAAGTGGTGACATTATAAGGTGTTGTGAGTGTGACTTACTGTGGACCATGTTCTCTTTTCAAATCAATCCCTCCATCATTAGAGCGATCACTGTTGAATGAGTGGGCGCTGGTCCCAGGAGCAGGTCTGTGGACACAGATGGCGCAGTGGCTTTAGTCTGAGCTCTGACATGGAGAACAGTGGTGGAGCGTTAGAGATGGTCCCTTACCTCTGAGCTTTGGGGGGGTGAGTGGTTTTAGAGGGAGGGGCTCCGTCCTCTCTGTGCTCTCTCTGATCCATGCTCTGTTCATTTGCTTCAAAAGGAAAAACACACAAAACATTCATCCCAAACAACACTAATGTTTAAATATGTCACAAATGTTTCTCTCCTCAACACACACTTACATTTGTGACTCTCGTTTGCTGTCTTGAGTTGTTTATAATGAATATAAATGATTTCTGTGAGGTCCTAAAACATACACATTGTATTTTCTTTGCTGATGATACTAGTCGACTCTGTGTAAAGTCAAAACAAGTGTGAATCAAAGCTCACTCTGTCTGTTCTATAATTCTACAATTTTGCCATATTTAAATTATTGTGTAGAAATTTGGGTTAACAATTACAAAACTAAACAACCCATCTATATACTGCAGAAAAAAAACATAAGAATTGTTCACTGTGCCAATTATTCTGCCCCAACAAACCCAGTGTTTATTCAGTTCAAAACCTTAAAGTTTCAGGACATTATCGACCTAAACACAGCTGCTGTTCTGTATAAAGTTCATAATCACATGCTCCTGGATGATTCAGGTGAGATTCAAACCCACACACACTTGTTATAACTTGAGAGGAACTGAACGATATAAAAAATAAAACCATAAAACCAAAAGTAAATGTTTATCAGTTAGAGGAGCAGATCTATGGAATATTCTGGACGACACGATAAAAGGATCGAGATCAATTAAGGCATTTAAAAAATATAACAAATTTAATTCAAATACAGAGCGCTAGAATGATTTAAAGACATGTTCTTATTATATAGAGAAATAATAAGACTAGACAACAGAAGCAGGTGAGAGTGACACACACACACACACACACACACACACAGACACACGCACACACACACACGCACACGCATAGGCAAGGCAAGTTTATTTGTATAGCACAATTCGTACACACAGTAATTAAAAGTGCTTTATAGAATAAGAAATACATTAAAATCATAATAAAAACAAATCAAAAAATAAATAATCATAAAGATTTAAATTTTAAAAAGAGAGACATAAATTAAAGAGAAGAGAAGAGTGCAGAATGAAAACCTTTCAGTTATATGCACAGTCAAACAGAACTGTTTTGAGCCTGGATTTAAACAGAGTCAAACAAGAGGCCTGTCTCACATATTCAGGAAGACTGTTCCAGGTTTTAGCTGCGTGAACCTGCGCGCACGCACACACACGCGCACACACGCGCACACACACGCGCACACACACATTCACATAAATGAGTTTAGATTTGACAAAACTAAGATATAAAGTCTGTTCACCATGTGAAACAACAGCAAACCCATGACTCTGATCCAAAGAAACATGTTGACAAACTGGTGGGGGTTTGGTTTTCTTGAGGCAGTAAGTAAGTAGTGTAATAGATACATTTTGAACAAGTAACTAGTAATAAGTAACTAAAGAGTTTTTCAAAGTCACTTCCCCAACACTGAACAACACACAACATCACAATGAAGTGTTGACATGATGAAGTAAACAGAATGATGTTTGAACGACTAAAAGGAGAACTTGGTTTCTTCATTAAGACTCAGACAATAAACTAGAGCAGGAGACAAAGACTTTTACACATCAGTTAGTGCAAACCTGAAGCAAAATACTGCTTTTATAATCAAACACAAACAATACAAATGCATTCTAGAAAGAATCAAGTCAAACCTTGTTTGAAACAGCTGAAAGAGGCAGAGGGAACGTGCACCAACAAATGTTTTGAAACTGATCGAAAGGTGGAAACAGAAAGAATCCAGTGTGACGGGTTCAGTGAATTTGTGCTTTGGCCCTGAGACCAGGGTGTGTGTGTGTGTGTGTGTTGTATGTGTGTGTGTGTGTGTGTGTGTGTGTGTGTGTAGTGTGTGTGTGTGTGTGTGTGTGTGTGTGTGTGTGTGTGTGTGTGTGTGTTAGTTGGCCCTGAGACCATGTGTGTGTGTGTGTGTGTGTGTGTAGTGTGTGTGTGTGTGTGTGTAGTTGTGTGTGTGTGTGTGTGTGTGTGTAGTGTGTGTGTGTGTGTGTTAGTTGGCCCTGAGACCAGTGTGTGTGTGTGTGTGTGTGTGTGTGTGTGTGTGTGTGTGTGTTGTGTGTGTGTGTGTGTGTGTGTAGTTGTGTGTGTGTGTGTAGTGTGTGTGTGTGTGTGTGTGTGTGTGTATGTGTGTGTGTGTGTGTGTGTGTATGTGTGTGTGTGTGTGTGTGTGTGTGTGTGTGTGTGTGTTAGTTGGCCCTGAGACCAGGGGTGTGTGTGTGTGTGTAGTTGTATGGGGTGTGTGTGTGTAGTGTGTGTGTGTGTGTGTGTGTTTAGTGTATGGGTGGGTGTGTGTGTGTAGTTGTGTGTGTGTGTGTGTGTGCGTGGGGGTGCGTGTGTCTGTGTGTGGGGCGGCCATTTTTGTAGTCCATTACAGAACAGAATGTTTCGGTGTGGAAGTTTTGCTCAAATCACTTTTTAACTCTGGATTAAAAACTGACCAACCAGAAGAGTTTAGCGTCCAAGAGTGTGAACCAGAAATGTGACCCGGAGCACCAAGACCAACAACAAGACCAACCTTTGGACTCCAGACGTGAAATGAGCGCGTGGTCTCAGTGCTGACTTGGTGAACTTGTAAGTCTATCCAGCACGAACAAAGGTGCATTTCTAAACAGCTCCAAAGAAATGGTTTAGTTTTCAAATGTGGCTCGGCGTTTGATGGAGCCGAGTGCATCAGTGAACGATGTGTGGATGATGAGTGTTATTACAAATGAAATCATCAGCCCACTTTGTCCACACATTTTCAAGCCAAAGTTTGTCTTGTGTGAGAAATAAATGGAGTAGTAATAGAGTTTGTGTGGTGTGAGCAGGACGTGGAGCGACCGGGCTGCACCTTCACCTACAGACATGATGGAGGCAGGATTAGTCTGGTCCACAGGCTCTTCTGGATTTTTTACAATTCTCCAAATAAAGTGCTCAGGTACAAAAGTGCGGCACAAAAAACAAAAGTGCAGGGACGAAGGGAATCTGTGTGTTGTTCATTAGTTTTTCAAAATAAAACAAAAAAATAAAAAATAAATAAGAAAACGAAAAAACAACAATTTTCTTCATTATTTGTCCCCAAAACCAAAATGAAAAAACAGATAAAGATTTGTTTTTTGTCAGTTTTTGATTTTGTGTTTAAATGAAAAATGGAAAAAACAGATAACGGACTGAATCAGGACTAAAACAGGACTAAAACAGGTCTAAACCAGTCTCAGTCCTGGTCTCAGTCCTGGTCCTGGTCCCGGTCTACGTCCTGATTCAGACGCTAACACACACGACACACAAGACACACACGACATACACACACACACGACACACAAGACATACACACACACACAACAAGACACACAAGACACACACACACACACACACACACACACACAGACACACACACACACACACAACATGACACACAAGACACACACACACACACACACAGACACACACACGACACACACACACACGACACACACACAACATGACACACAAGACACACACACACAACATGACACACAAGACACACACACACATGACACACAACACACACACACGACACACACGGGGGGGGGGGGGAAGTATTGAAAATTTGTTAAGTATGTGTTGGAGTTTTGCCTCAGATCCCCACTCAAGAGCATACCAAGCCACGCCCACACCCCCCATGGCGGGATGCGGGGGCCACCCCCAGGGCCCCACATGCGACGCCAGGCCAGCCCCTCGACGAACCACCTCCTGGTCTGACCGCCCCCTCCCTGATATATATGTACATGTGCATACATTCACACACACACACACACACACACACACACATGTATGCATGCACCTGCCTGCACAGGAATGTGCACACACATACACATACACACGAGCCTGCACACACACTCACATTCACACACTCCTGCTCAAGATTTAACAGCATCTTCACACAAAGCACAAAGCACACTCACATGCTCTGTTTCTGTCAATGTGAAACTAAACGAACGGCGTGTCGCATTTGCAGATTTGAATCATTTCTGCAGAGTAATGGAGGCCTAAGAGGGACATTTCACATGAATCAGAGCATACCCAATGTGCACTTTGATGATTGGACAGAGACAAATTGTACAAGTTTAACATTGGCTCAGATCCATCACTGGACTAAAGCGGAGACAGCGGAGCGGTGCATGTACTGAACTCAAATACCTGGAGGACGTCTCTGTCTGTACAAGGTCAGTGTTAAACAGGTGTTACGAAATACATTTTATAGCCTGAAATAATGTGAAATCCAATACAATAAAACTCAAAAGAGAAAACCTTGGAGCCCTGACTGACTGAGCGAGTGAGCGCAGAATGCTCGGAGGAGATGTTTAAACAAGGCTACAAGGTGAACACAGTTTCACATCTTACCAAACGGCATAAACAGCTCTGTACCACAAGCTGTTAAAGAGGGAGTACTGCGCAAAATTGACTTTCTGCAGATTTGTACCATGTTATATCATTTTTTTACTCATCAAAAACGTGTCTGAAGAGGGTTTAGAGTCATCCATCTCTCCGGGAAACTATTCAAACACTCATCACAGTTAGATATAAGATTCTGTGCAATGCTCCACCTACGTCACCTATGTTCCTGAATATAAATATACAAAAACATGACACAAAAATGTACACAGCAACTTGACAATCCTGATGAGATGTGCAGGAGTTTCATTAGCGGGATGCATGATGATTGATACTCAACTCTGTATCGCCGTGTCTGCTGATGACCTAAGCCCGATCGATACCCTTTTCTTTTACACAAGAATTTACTAAATGTATTTAATTTAAGAGTTTACAAAAGAAAAATCTTGCCCAGTCTTTGCAGTTTTGTAATTTTGGTGAAGCTGCAGATGTGACATAAGTAGAGTTAATTTCTAAACTGTGACCAAAGCAACTATGACAAACAACAAGGGCCAAAGCTCGTCTAAAGTACCAGAGTTATGATTAGACTGATAAAAATAAATTGGGACACTTTTTTTTTTTTTTCCCCCTGTTTATGGTCGTACAAACTAATAAGAATGTTGACAAAGAGACAAAAGTTTATAGTTTATGATCATGTGAAATAATCTACAATGAGAATGAAAGAATCTAAGGAACTTTAGTTTTTCGTTTATGGTCGTGCAAACTAATAATATTGTTAACGATGGCGAAAAAGTTATTTATTATTATTTTTTTCGCCTTCCGATCGATACCCTTTTCAACTGCATTTTAGGTCTTAAGTCCTGGATGGCAGCAAACTTCCTCTAGCTCAATCAGGGCAAAATCCAGGTTTAATTATTGGTCCTGAAGCTCAGAGAGAGAAGCTCAAAGCTCTGTTCCAAACCTCCTCACTGAACCCCTTTGAGAGGATCAGAAGTTTAGGAGTTATTCTTGATAGAACTTAGCTTTAAGCCACACATCAGGTCCATCACTAAACCTGGTTTTTATCGTTTAAAAAAAATATTGCCAGAGTCAGACCATTTCTCTCTCAAGACAGCGCAGAAACTTTAATACATGCTTTTATCACAAACCGTGTTGATTACTGTAATGCTCTCCTTTCTGCTCTTCCAAAGAAAACTACAGCTCCATTGCAGCTCCTCCAGAACTCTGCAGCACGAAGCTGACGAGGACCAGGAAGAGAGAGCACATCACCCCAGTACTGAAGTCTCTGCACTGGGTTCTGTGAGCTTCACCGAGAGATTCTTCAAGAAGTTCTTTTATTGGTTTATAAAGCTTTTAATGGTCTCAGTCCTATTTATTTATTTATCTGATCTGCTTTTATCAAATGAGCCTCTCGGACTCTCAGTTTGTCAAAAGTACCGAAATTCAAAAACTAATCGATACTACAACTAGTATCAAAACTAGACACTCCATTTGAGCAGGTATTGATAATAAAATAGTCCCACTCACAGGACAGAAAATGTGTCTTGTCCCAATACAGATATATAGTATAAGCTGCTTTAAAAAAACAAAACAAAACACAAAAACACTTAAACAACGGTAATCAGAAAGAGCAAGATAGCATGCTAGTTGTTTTTTATTTATGTTGTTTATGTTGTTTATTACACTACAGGCTTTGACGGCTCTTATAAACCCATCATGGTGAATAATTAGGATACTCAGAATAAGTACGGAAAGTGAGGAATAACTTTGGACCACTGCAAACTGTTTAGAATGAGCTATCATATTATTTGGACTATAAAGTGCACCAGATTATAAGGTCCAATATCAATAATGTTGAATTCTCTCATCTATTTTTATACATAAGGCACACCGGATTATGAGGCACATTAAGAGAAACAAACGGACGACACTTGAGACTGATCCTTAGCCCAGTCGTCCATGATCCATTGGCAGATCTTGCCCGGCGTTGTCTCTCTGTCTTGGTGAATGTGGATTATGGATGTGAATGTGGGTGGATCATTAAGTTTGCTTTTTTACTTCCAACGAGGACGACTCAAATATATATTGAGTAATAATGTGTTTAATGCAGCTTTGCACATGTGTTTACCTTTTACAGAAATGAAACTTAAAACCACATCGCTCATTTGCGTAAACTATAAGCGGTGAAAAAAACTGCTCGCTCCTCGTGCGTTGATGCGGTTCAGCTTCGGTTGGACTAAAGAACATGACTAAGGCTACGTTCAGACTGCAGGGCTTAATGCTCAATTCCGATTTTTTTGTGAAATCCAATGTTTT